AGGACCCCCCCAGAGCCCTCATCCCCCCTCCGAAGCCTTGTTGTGGGTGCTTTGCTTTGGGGCTCCCCTAGGGAAGCTGGAGCCTGGCGCAGGGGGCCCCCAGCGGTTGGTCGGTGCGGGGGGCTGGGCTCCAGGGGCCCCGGCCCCCCAGCAGCCGCTGCTCACTGCCCAGGCGTGGGGGTGTCCAGATCCATCACCCCCACCCTCAGACCCCACAGCCCCCGGGCCTCGGCGGGACCCCATAGGTCACTGAAGATCTGATCTCTGACCCCCCCTCCTGCGCCCTCCCCCACGAGGGACTCGCGCTTCTCTGGTACTGAGATTCGAACCGTGGGCCTCGAGCTTGCTCGGCAGGGGGAGGGGGAGGCCCCGCCCAGCTAACCTTCTGCCTTGGGTGGTCTTGAGCTCCCTGCCCGCTCCCAGGAGCCGAGGTGAGGGGTGTGCACCCCACCGCTGCCCACTCCTGCAGTGGCCGCCCTGAGCCGGCGTGGAGGCCCCGGCCGAAGGTCCAGGCCGCTCAACAACCCCACCAACCCCAGCCTGAACTCCTTGGGGCAGGGATGGGGGGGGCTCTGCTCTGTGCTGGGCACCGAGGGGAGCCACAGGCCCCTTCCCCGTGGACACGGGAGAGAAGAGAGCCGCGCACAGTGGGAAGCCCAGGGTCGGTACTAGGGCGCATGGTGTGTGCAGCCCATCTGGGGACCACCCCACCCCAACGGGGACCCTGGCCACCTGGGAAGCTGAGGCGGGCGGGTGGGGGGCATCTCTTGAACCCAGGAACTTGAGGCCATCCTGGATGATACATGAAGACCCCAGCTTAAACACACAATAAGCTGCAGTTTATTGGTCGGATTGGTCAGCTGTGCATGGTGCTGCGCCCCCATCCCCTGGGGAGCTGCCTTTGGATACCCCCCCCAGCACCGGATACCAGGGGGCGCTGGCTGCGGGGCTGTGAATTCCTGGTCTCCTTGGGCAGGAGGGAAGTTTGACGGCGGGCGGACCCGAGAACCAGGATCCACCATGCCTCAGTGCACCAGAAGAGGGGCTTCAGATCTCACAGGAGTTTAGTCACTCGGAGGGAGGGGGGGCTGGCCCCGCTGGAGTGAGGCGGCCTGGCCTGGCCGTCCGGTCCAGGGGGTGATGGCACCGCAGGCCTCTCTTGCTGTGGATGGGAACCTGGCGCTGACTCACATCTCAGTGCTCGCCGGAGGGGTGAGCGGGGACACGTACATCCCAGCTTGTGACGCTATGCAGAGGTGGAGCCTCAGCCAGGCACTGGTGGCTCACGCCTGTCATCCCAGCTTCTCAAGACACTGACCTCTGAGGATCCTGGTTCAAAGCCAGCTCTGGTAGGAAAGTCTCAGGGACGTCTGTGAGACGTTTTTCTCCATGGGGTAAAGTGCTAGCCTTGAGTACAATAACTCAGGTTCAAGTCCCAGGACTGGTATACACACACACACAGAAGCGTGACCTGGAGTTCAAACCCCTGCAACCAAGACCAGCTGAAAAGCAGCAGAGGCTACGCTGGCCACCCAGGAAGAGGCCTTACGTGCTGGGGAGGGGCCAATGTCCCAGTGAGCCTGCTTGCAGCCGACGACTTCCTCAGGTTCTCAGAGACAGAGACAGTTACCCACTACTAACCGTGGACCCCACGGCCCCCAGACATCAACCCCCAGGCAGCCTCGGGGTACCCGCACCACAGCCATGTGCGCCCTCAGGTGGACCCACTCCCTGGTAGAAACAGGATTGGAAGACGCAGCCCCTCGGAGCCTCAGCGCCTCCAGGCTCTCCTGTGTCCTTGGATCCAGCCCCACCGGAAGCCGATACTTCCATTATGAGCCACACATTTTTCTCTTTTTCATTAATAATAAGATGGGCTGTATGCCCTGTACAAATTGGGTGGCAGGTGGAAATCAAACGTGTGAATTCAGTCAGTCTGAGATTTCTGTGTTTGGTCAGTGGGAGTCCCGCAGTCGTGACGCTTCCATTGCAGACCTGCGCGACAGGCGCAGGTGTGGAGGCTGAAACAGCCGTGGGACCCACGCGCAGGCCCCAGAGCCTGGGGCTGGAAGCGGGGTGGGAGGCGGGCGGGGCTCACCCGGAGTCTCAAAACTACAACTTCCGGCATGCAACGCGCGCAACCCCTTGTCCCTCGCGATTTGCTGGTTCTGAGACTGTTGATTGGTCTCACGGACTGCTCGTCAGGTAAGCGTCGGGCTCTGATTGGCCGAGCTGCTGCAGCATGGTTCTGGGTGCCCGGACGGCGAGATGGTGAGCGCGGTGGGCCCCGAGGGGCCGCGGGTCGGGGAGAGGGGGCGGGGGGCGGGAGGGAGGAGGTCATGCAAGCCCCCGGGGGACGCTACGGGCCTGGAGCCCTGCAGGGGGCCGGGTCCCCCGAAAACGTTGGGGCCCCTCGCGGACAGAAGGGTCCTGGGGGGTGGGCGCCATCGGGGGGTCCCCGCGGGCGTCGGGGGCGCGTGTCGGGGGCGGGGGAGCCCACAGCGCGGGGCCCTGCCTAGGGGGCCCGGGTGATCTTGGAGCCCGCAGCGGGGACCCCCGGTTTGGAACCCCCAGTGCCACATGGCTCCGGGTCCATCCCCGAGGGCCAGGCTGCCTGGGGATGGGGTCACTGGGGTGCAGCCTGAAGGCAGAGCTCGAGGGGGGCTCGAGGAAGGGGGCGGGGCTCCGGGCCTGGCCCCCATGAGTAAGGCCCAGTGACCCGAGCCTAGCTTTGAGCAGGGAAGAGATTCCCAAGGGGCAGGTGGAAGGCGGGCCCGCCTGGCTTGGGGGCAGCGCACCCTTCCGCCGCCCTCCCCTTCCTGTCCAGGAGGCATTCTGAGCCAGATTCTTCCAAAGGAGCCTGGCTTTTCTTTTCTTTCCACCAATTCCGGGGCTTGAACCCGTCTTGGGCACTGTCCCTGAGCTTTGTGCTCTTGCCCAGAGCTCTACTACCTTGAGTCACAGCTCCACTTCTGGATTTCTGCTGGTTCACTGGAAATAAGAGTCGCACGGCCTTGCCTGCACGGGCTGGCTTTGAACTGCGATCCTCAGATCTCAGCCTCCTGAGTTGCTAGGACGACAGGCGTGAGCACCCAGTGCCTGTCCCTGTCCCTAAACTTTTTGCTCAAGACTGGCTATTACTTGAGCCACAGCTCCACTGTGGCTTTGTGGTGGTTAATTGGAGCCATCCTCAGGCCCGCTGGTCACGTAACTGTGTCCCCCAGGATGTCCCCCACACCAGGTCCCTCTGCAGAGACCCTGCTCTCTGAACCACTTCCACCAGGAGCCTTTCCAGGTCACCCCTAAAGCCAAGCCACATGAGCCTCCTCTAGGTTTGACCTGTGTGTGTCCCTGGGCTTGAACTCAGGGCCTGGCCTGGGCGCCATTCCTAAGCTTTTTTTCCCCTGAAGCTTGATGTTCTACCACTTGAGCAACAGCTCCACTTCCAGCTTTTTGGTAGCTAATTGGAGCAAGTCTCACAGGCTTTCCTGCCCGGGCTGGCTTTGAACCGTGGTCCTCAGCTCTCAGCCTCCCTAGTAGCTAGGGTGACAATAGTGAACCAATCGATTACTTTTTGCAGTGCGGGGTTAGAGCCCGGGACGTTGACAAGCAGTTCTCCTGGGCACTCATTCTGGGGGGGAAGGGGAGTCCTGACCTCTGAGGTGGGCGCGGGATGCCCCGCCCGGTGAAGGACAGGGCAGCGCTGGGCAGGAGCTCCCCAGGCCGAGCAGCCGGGCCTGGCCAGGCCCTTGGCCCAAGATGCCACGGAGCCCCGGCCGGAGGCCACCCTCCCCCATCCCGCCTGGCCTCTATAAATAGCCGGGGTTGGTGGAGGGAGCCCCGCCCCGCCGCGCCCCGACGCCCGCCGTCGCCTCCCGCAGGCCGTCCTGGGAGTGCAGCTGGTGGTGACGCTGCTCATGGCCACGCTCATGCACCGCCTGGCCCCGCACTGCTCCTTCGCGCGCTGGCTGCTCTGTAACGGCAGGTGGGCCCCGCCCCGCGGGGCGTGGTCAGCGAGGCATGCCCCGCCCACCGAAGGCGTGGTGACCTGACCCCGCCCCTCGCCACGAAGCCCCGCCCCTGGCGGCTGGCGATGTCCGCGCCCCAGGGCCCCTCCTGCCACCCCGCCTTCTCCCTTCACCCGGTGGAAACCGCTGTTTTCCTAGCAAAATGCACGTGACCCCGCAGATTCCGGGGTGTCCCCGGCCCCTGAGCCCATCGGGCCCACTGCTTCCCCCGCTTGCCCTCACCGAGCTCCCCCCGGCCCCGGCGTCCAGCCCGGGGCGCCCCGTGCACCCCACTTCTCTGTCCGCAGCCTCTTCCGATACAAGCACCCCTCCGAGGAGGAGCTTCGAGCCCTGGCCGGCAGGCAGCGGCCCCGAGGCCGGAAGGAGCGGTGCGTGGCCCCGGGTTCCCTGAATCTCTGCAGTCAGGCTGGGGGGAGGGGGCGGGACGCCGGGCTGCCCCTCCCCGGCACGTGATTGGCCAGTAGAGCATGTGGGCGGAGGCCGGGTGCGGGGCGTAGCCGCGCATGCGCCTCCCACTCCCCCCCC